TCTCCGGCCGGGCTGCGCCCCGCGCCCTTTTCGCCGCGATGAAGCGCCCCTGCGAGGAGACGACCTCGGAGAGCGACCTGGACGAGACCATCGACGTGGGAAGCGAGAACAATTACTCGGGGTGAGCGCGCGCTTGGAGCCCGAGGCGTCGGGGAGCTTTGTGTGGGACGGCTCCGTGGGAATCTCCAGGCTCCTTTCCGCGGCGTCCTCACGAAGAGGGGGAAGTTTTGCCGGAGAAACGTTGAGTGGTGGGCGCTCGGGAACGTGCGTGGAGTGGGGCGAGGGAGGTGGGTTTTCACTCTAGGGGTGCAGCGCAGCGGACGGGGACGCCTGAAAGTGCGGGAGTTGGCCGGGATGTTGCCCGGCTGTCTGCACCGGGCCGGCCGACAAACAGGTCCCGGCGACGGGCGACGCCCCCGCCACTGAAACTGTCGAAATGGGCCAAGAGCAAAGAAAAATTGATGTTTTTAAAAGAGACTAAAAAGCTAAGTTGCTTGATGGAGAAATTGAAGCAACGTGCAGTGTCCCCGCTAAGCAGGGTGCGCGCTCCGGGCCGACCATGTGTGTCTTGGCTGACAGTAGAGTGAGTGACAGATGTAAGGATCGTTTCGGGCGTTATTCCTTTGACTGCCGGCTCTTAAGTCTGGGAAAGATCGGGGTCGCGATCACAGAAGCCAGACCTCCACTTCCCAGTGGCAGGGGGAGATTACCGAGGCATTTTAGTGCCGGGCGGGTCAAATGATAATTGCTTCTAATTGGCATCCCCAGAAGCACCTTAATTATTTATCTGCAACTGTCACTCAAAGAGCAAAATTCTTCCTACCTTTTGGAAAACTTTCAATGCTGTTTTTTTTCTTTCTTTCTTTCTTTCAATGCTGTTCTTCTAATACATACAAAACCAAAGCCTGATATCAGCAAGAGCAAAGACATTTGCTTGAAACATTGTTTACAAAGTATCTTCTAATTATTAAAGTGTCGGTCATCTTAAAAAAAAGAACAGAAAAACAGAAGATGCCCTGTGAAAGGCGAAACCAGCTGAGAATGGGTAGGAATGAGGAGGACGTTTAATTCAGAAATAAGATCCAGAAGTGAGAAGATGAAGTACTAACAACCTGATCTGTGCAACATTTCTAAAATGGAAGAACAAATAACAGGAACCCTGGAAAATCTGAGAACATAAAGAATTATAGAATCCATGAATTATGAAGAGTAACAGATACAAACTAGAAAGGATGGCAAATATTCTAAGTGGCAAAATAATGATTTGATTGAACTCTCAGTATAAAATAATCTTTTCATTAGGAAACTCAAGATGAGGTGCAGCTCCTAGAGGTTTCGTTTTCAAAGTAAAACCCTTACCTGGTAGCTGATCTGATTTTAATTTTCTTATCAGTGGCATTTTTACTTTGGAGCGTTCTTTTGGAAGATTCGGATACAAAACATTAAATTTGTCATTTTTTTCCCCGTTGTGAGATATGACTAATTGAAATAGTAAGATAACGTGTGTTTATTTTAAAGATTGTATCTAGAGACAACCGTGTGACATGTGATGATTGTATATCTGTTTGGTAATGGTGCTAAACATGGCCTTTATTTTAAAATAGCTTTGCTTTGTTCAGTATGTTTGAACGGAAAGAGGAGGAGGATGCTACCAGAGACTAGTTGACTTTTAAGAAACATTTATGAGTGTCACTAGGAAGTACTAATATCTAATTTCTCACCCTGACTGCCCATAATTATTTTACTAGGAGACTTAATAAAAGTTTAGGGATGTTTTTGCCAATGGATTTGGCATCTAAATTACTCATTAAAACTTTTCTTTTTTTAAGCCACCATTCATTCCTACCTGAAAAGAGATATAGGCTGGAAGCAAAGTATGTTAAGAGTAAAGCAAGAATTAAGAATAAAGTAACACAGACCTGAACTGCGAAATCACCCTCAATGTTTAATGGGTGGCATCAAGTACTCAGAAGAAACTATTGTTATGTTAATGAAGCACCTGACATACTCTTCCTATTTCATAGGCAAAGTTCTAGCTCTGTGATTAGATCGAATTCTCCAACAACAACATCTCAGATTATGGCAAGAAAGAAAAGGAGAGGGGTATGTGATTTTTTTTTTCTTTTTATTTCATGTTATGTAGCCTAATGTGTAGCAGTTGTTTTTTTCATCACGAGTAATTTTATCATTTGTGTATTCATAAACTTTTGTTTTGCTTTCTTTGGGATAGATAATAGAGAAAAGGCGTCGAGATCGGATAAATAACAGTTTATCCGAGTTGAGGCGACTGGTGCCAACTGCTTTTGAAAAACAAGTAAGCTATCCTCACCCCTGACCACCCCAACCAAAAAGCTCAAAAAATCTGATTCTCTCATCTGGGAAAGCCTGTTAAAGCTTTTTAAAATAATGGTGTATGTGCCCTGATCTGGCACAGAGCAGTGATTTCAATAAAATGCTTTGTTGTGGCAAAACTATTAAAAACATAATCCATCGTGAAGTTGAAAAACATTTCCATTCTTGGGCTTATTTTCCCCTTAAGGGTAACAGTGTTCATGCTTTCTCTGTTCTTTCTATGAAGACCAGTGGTGGTTTTGTTTAAAACCAAGATGTATGTGGTATTCTTTAAAAAAAAAAAAAAGAAGGATATCATGTGTGAAATTTCATTTTTGTTTCAAACAGTTTAAGAAAAATAAGCTTTTTATTTTAAAAATTACCAAAGCCCAGGAAGTAACATCTTCAGCTCTATTTTCTAAATAACTTATACGAATACAATTTATTTACCAACCCACATGGTTTCATTTTTAATCCCTGGGTTAACAGAATAATGCTCGATTTGGAGCATCTTTTTGGAAGTTTGGTAAAAATCAAACTAGCCACATGCCCTTTTCAGAATTCACGTATTCCTTTACAAAAAAAAAAAAAAAATTCACACTTAATAGAGTAGGAAGCCAAATATGTAAATATTTCTTTGTCGTTTTAGAACAGTTTTTCCTCCTGCCACCATGGCTAATGGCATAGATTTCTAACAGCATCTTTCAAAGAATGTGGCATCATAACCTTGTTGAAAATACTTTCAATTTAATTCAAATAGAATATAAGACAGCAATTGTTTGTTTATTTCATTTTGTTGTTTATTTCATGAACCAAACTAACATTACAAAGCCCTCAGAAATTATCCAGAAACTACAATTTTGTTATTAGTCACGTTCACTGAAACTACTGTACATCTTCATGGAAAAATTGAGCACTGACAGAAGTACAAGATGTAATATGCTATTGATTATATATGTTTAAGAGAAACACAGGCACCCATTCTATATGCTGAAACTGCCTTTGATTAGGTAAATGTAATGTGGAAACAGTAGTTTGGATTAGTAGCAGTAGGCTGAAACTGAAGATATCATTATTTAGTGATATTTTTACTTTGAGTACCGAAATACCTAGTTATGAGAAACCATCAGTTTGGTGTGGTTTTTGTTGTTGTTGTTCTTTTTCTTTCTTTCTTTTCTTAAATGTCAATTTAAAACAAATCTTAAAAGCAAACCTCAGTTGTTTGGCAGCTAGTTGCCATAAACACAGACTTTCCCATTTGCAGAGCTTGGCTAACAACCCTTAGTGAGCTGGCCCTGTCACAATATGATTAGAAGGGTATTTATTCAAGCAGTTTAAATAACTGGCATTGAGCTGATAATTTTCACGAAACAAGTAACGCATAGGAACCTGAAATAAACTTCTATTTCCTTTTCTGAAAAAAACATATTGGTTTAATTATTTAGCTCCTCCAGGAAATTAGAAGCCATCCACAGCACTCTGAGACAGTTTGAGGTGGCACTTTTTTCAATTGGTTTCCAGAAGTTGCCTTATTTTAAAAAGTGGGGACATAAAAATACATTTCAAAGACAATTTTATTAAGAACTATTTTAAAGGGTTTAAATATCCTTACATGTTGCTGATGCTTACTAGATAAGTAGTAAATTATGCTTTCTTATTTATGATCTTGAAATTCACAGTGACACCTGCTGGTAATTATTGGAAAACATATTAAAAGTCTTCCCTTTTTTATTTTTGGTTCTGCTTACCCAAGGTCTAGTATGAATTAAAGACTTATTAAAATTTTTTATTTTTATTTTATTTTTCTAGCTGGAAAGTCAAAACATTTTATTTTAAAATGTTAGAAAAGCATTAAAAGAGATATGTCCATTATATAACCAAGAATGTTAAATATTTGGAAACTAAATCTTCTAAAATGTGGCAGGCACTTTCAGAGAGTTAAATATTGCAAATTATTCTACCATATGTCTTCTTTAATACCAATAATGTTTGATATGATGAAAAAATACCAAGACCAACTAATTATTCAATCAAAGTCACCAAGTCAGGATTCAACAATAATTTGAGATTCTATTTCCTTATCCTCCAGAGTTGTATTCAACTGATCTAGACTTGAGCATTATATAGGACTATTGGATGTTCTATATAATTAGATAATGCAATTAAATATACTATTAACCAAGGTACTGATTGGTTGCAAAGTTTGAGATTTTCACAATTGTAATTTTGGTGGAGTAATATTGGGGAGTATAGCTATTCTTATGATAAAAATGTTTATTATACTTTTTAACCTTTAAAGGTTGAAATATCTGTCATTAAGTGTGACATAGTAATTAGAGTTTTCATTTAAAGTTTGGAAGGAATTCAGATTTTTCTGTGAAAAAAATTAAACTTAGAATTTTCTAGTGAGAAGGAAAATTGAAAATCCAGTATAAAATGTCCTAAATTTGTTTCCATAGAACTTATAAGACTTTATTACTTGTTTATGCAGGGATCTGCAAAGTTAGAAAAAGCTGAAATATTACAAATGACAGTGGATCATTTGAAGATGCTTCAGGCAACAGGGGGTAAAGGTAAGTAAGTGACTTCATTTTCCCCACCCCTTTCCACCTTTCTTTTTTCACCCCTCCTCCTCTCCCCTCCCCAAGATTGTAAGGAAGTCATAGTTGAGCGGTTCTTTAACAAGCTGGGATAGGAGGTCCCAGATTAAAGCCGTGGAAATCAATGCTAATGGCAGGATTGAACTCGTGGGAAAGAACTTCTGGAACAAAAGGAGCACTTGACCCTGGGCTTGTGTTTGCTTTCATAATACTGTGGGAGTGAAGCTTCATTCACAGCAGCCCGGTCAGAGATTTGTTTGGGACTTCAGAAGCACATGCTGGAATCTGTACAGAAAGACAAAACAAACACACAAACATCCAAACATAAACAGGAGGTTAAAGGCAATCTTTTCTCTTTTTCTTCTTTCTGTTCCCCAAAGACCCCCATTAAATCAGAGCTAGAACTCAGTATAATGCAGCTATTCCAAAGGAAGTGACTCTAGAATTACTCTCATTGTTGTTTTCAGATTTGGGTTGGTTTTGGATTCAGACCAGACAGAGCATTTGAAGTGCAGGTAGTGAATCTCTACTGGAAACCGTTAATGGAGCAGTCATTCCTAACCAGAGCAAATAGGAGAAGGTTCCTTGGGCCCAGTTCCCTGGGGAGATGTTCTCTGTATTCCATAGTGATTTGGGGAAGAATTGTTTAGGGGGTCAGGGACAGACCCTTACTTCATGCTAAAAATATACTTGAGATGGGAAAGCTGTAATTATCATTCAAATTTTATCATCCCAGTTCCACTTGACTGGGTTTCACCCTTTTGTATCTTTTTCACCCTTCAAACAAACCTTTGGTATTCATCTTAGCCAAGGGTGTTATCTATATATATAAAAGGCTAATACTATGCTAAGTGTCCGAGCATCCGACCAGTTGCTATGATGCACACTGACCACCAGGGGGCAGACGCTCAACGCAGTAGCTGCCGAGCTGCAGTGACTTGGCAGCAGCGGTTCTCGGGTGACACACCCCAAAACCAGAGAGGAGGGAGCCCAATTCCTCGCAGGGCCACGCAATTCCACCTTCGGCTGTGGGTTATGTTGTTGCTGGGGCACTGTCGGGGCCCGAATCTGGTTTACTGCACACTTGCTTTTGCGTTCCATACTCTGTAGGACAGCAACTTTGCAGAGTGCCCTCTCGCACTCTGGGACCCTTTGGGGGATGTCAGAGAGCTGGTTTCGGCCTGATCCCCACAGGCCAGGCCTAGGGACCCCCCCTGCCAGAGGGATCCGCTCACTCTGAAGACACTGGGGAGGGACCATGGGGGGTTGGCTCCAGGGAGTGTCCAGCCCATCTCACCCAGGTCCTGCCCTGCTGGCCACCTTCTAATTAATTTCCTTTCAATGTGCACAAAATCGTGCACCTGGTCACTAGTTTAATATATTTGACAACTGGATAAGTACAAGACACCACCAGGGGCTAAGTGCTGCTGCACCTATACTCTGGAAGCTTCTCTGTGCTTGCTATCAGCCTTTTACTATGTATTGTCATAGTTTGCCATAGATGAAGGCAGGAAAGGGGCATTGGAGGCAAGTAGCTGTTTACCAATTGGTATGGAAGTAGTTCAGTATTTAACTCCACTATGGCCATGCTGCTGAGGACCTGTGGAACACAGCCCTGGCCATCACCTCTAAATCCAAGACCAACCAAAATCTGAAAACAACATGAGAGTAATTCTAGGGCCACTTCCTTTGGAATAGCTGCATTATACTGAGTTCTAGCTCTGATTTAATGGAGGTTTGGGGGAAGGAAAGGAAGAACAAGAGGAAAAGATTGCCCCTAACCTCCTGGTTTTGTTCCAATACTTGTGTGTCAGGGAGGCTGATCATTGTACAGGGAAGCCCACGTGCTGTGACTTACCCTTGGTTGCACCTTCTCAAGGAACCATCCTGAATGAATGGGCATGGGTTTTTAAATTTCTGTTCATTAAAATGTAACCCTAAGTATAGCATGCAAGCATTCTTACAGAATGGAGAAGAGAATGGATGAAATCTTAAGAGCCAAGGATCCCGCCCGGGTTGGCCACTGCCTCACCTGTGACCAGACACAGAAAAGTGCACTGTTGCACTATGAGGCCTACACTAGTTCTCTGAGCTCTAAGGCCCCTCCAGCCCCACGTTGCCATCTGCACCGATTGAGTTAGTGGTGGTGCAAGAAAAGTTGTTTGTTTGCTCTGCCTCCCTTGGCATCGTTAACCACATGACTGAGAATTCTTATCAACATTTCAAATATTTGGCCTGAGCTATACTTGTAAAGAGTAATATTGTTCTTATGCCTTACTATAAAAACTAAGTTCTGTCTTGGTTGCTATTCTTGGCTACCTGAACAGTCCTAAAATTCAAACCAGAATAGTTTATGAACACACATTTCCAAGCAAGCACATACAAGTGGCCTGACTGCCAGGTCATTAAACAGGTCACCAAGCTGGAGAATATGTGGGCCTTGAAGAAGCGGGGCTGGCAGTGTGGGCTTACATCGCCCAAGACTCACAGCTGCTATAAGGGCCTCATGGTGTGCTGATGTCTTAGAGCATGGACTCTAGTTGGGTTGCCTGTTTACAAATCCTGGCACTGTCCTGTAGTTGCTCTGTGATGCTTGGTAAATTACTAACCCTCTCTGAGCCCCATTTTCCTCATCTGTAAAGTGAGAACAGTGCTCGTGTCCACTTCACAAGGTTGTGAGTTTGTTCACTGAAAGCTGTAGCGCAGTGGTGGCACAGGTGATGTGGTATAGACCTATGTGCTGTACTATAATTTTTGGCCCCAGATTCATTCATAGGAGACAGCTGCTCATCATCATTTCCCTCTGTATCCACCAACAGGATAGGAATTGGCATACTTTCTGTTCCTTAAGATGCAACAGAGAACTCAGTGATATACAGCAACATGTAGCTGACAAACCACAGATTTCAAATTTTTTCATGCCTGTTCATGAGAATTCTCGGAAGCTCTGAGGGTTACAATCCTGTTGGTTCGTTTTTTTTACAGTCTACCTTGATGTTGCCATGGTGTCTAGAGAGGATTTAGTAGAGTAACCTAAATTTCCAAATCCTTCTGGGTTTCTGAACTCGGTCTACACTGGTGATTACCTCCCTCCTCTTCTCTCATGGGAGACAGAGTCCGCAAAGGCCCACAGAGAACCCTGAGGACGCTCCCGTGAAATCTTTTCCATGGAGGCAGCTTCTTTAGGGAGAGCTTTTCCTTCTAATCCCAGGGACTTTGTTGCTAACTCTGCCTAAGTCCTCATCTTCCACATTTCATGATGCTGTCTTATATCAGCTTTGTGCTGTTGTTACTGTTTTAATAGGGTATATTTTTGTTCCAGATGTTTTTTGGGCCTTCCAAATTTCAGTTCGAATTCTAGCTTTAGGACTTTTGAATATTATGACTACTATTTTCCAAAGTGCTTGAGATACAGAATAAGATAGTCTAATAATGAATAGATGATAAATGAAACATTTTGTTTTTATTGGATTTTTTTCATACCAAGTAATGACAACATGTTTTCACTTTGTTGATTTAAAAAAAGCCACTGAGAGTCAAGAAGCATTTTTTTAAAAAAATTTAAGAGACAGTAAGTGTTGGTGCAAGAAAAGTCCTTTATTCGAAAGTCCCCAAGCCGCTAAAATGCATTTTACCTCTCTGTTTACCGCCAAGAGAGTGTGGGTGTTTCAGAAAAGCCCTTTAATCTACAGCTCATGTGACAGAGACAGCGCCTGGAACTCTGTGTCACCGTGAAAAAATTCGACTAGGGAATTTCACTAGTCCACAATACAGAAGGAGAAACATCACTTTTTCCCCTGGAAGTATTTGAAACATGCATGTTCTTAATCACACACACACACACACACACACACACACACACACACCAACCACACCCCTGCCCCCACTATGAAATTTGGTTGCAAGAACAACTGTAGTACCCAGCAATGCCAGAGTTGTCACACATGTGAATTGCAAAGTGTACATTCTACACTCTCTTAACTTCTGCACAAATTGCAACCATAAGTAGCTGGCAACGTTGTCAGAAAGGATCGTGGTTCTGCTTCAATCTTCTGAGGACAGTGGGACCTAGTTGGTAGGACTCTTAGTAACTGGATCCTTTTCTCCTCACTCTCTCCTGGCCCCCACTTTGCTCAAACCTCCCTTTAGGCTACTTCGATGCACACGCGATTGCCATGGACTTCATGAGCATCGGGTTCCGAGAGTGCCTGACGGAAGTGGCCAGGTATCTGAGCTCAGTGGAAGGCCTGGACTCCGCGGACCCCCTGCGGGTGCGGCTGGTCTCCCATCTCAGCACGTGCGCCTCGCAGCGGGAAGCAGCGGCCATGACCTCCTCCCTGGCCCACCACCACCACCCGCTGCACCCGCACCACTGGGCTGC